TCTATACATCTCTCCCCTCTCTAGTCTTCTGCCCTATGAACTCTGGCCTTTGGTTTTTCCACAATAACATGGTTTTTATTTTGTTTTTGTTTTTTGTTTTGTTTTTTGAGACAGAGTTTCTCTGTGTATCTCTGGCTGTCCTGGAACTTGCTCTGAAGACCAGGCTGGCCACAGACTTACAGAGATCTGTCTGCCCCTGCCTCCCGAGTGCTGGGACTAAAGGTGTGTGCCACCACTGCCCAGCTAACATGGTTCCTGGATTCCACATACTACCGGGTTTCTTTTCTGCAGTGTGTCTTCAGCATAGGTCCCCTTTCTAACACCTGGAAATCCCAGGGCATAAGCTATGGACTTCATAGGACCCTCTGTTTATCTCCTTCTGTGGACGGTTGTCCTTCACCCACTGTGTGGTAGCTAGTAAACCTGCTTCACATGAACTGTTCTTCTGCATTTTCGAGGGGCGGGGCATGAACGTACCTGCCATCCTCTTGGCCAGCCGCAGAAAACCCCTTTAGGAGCAGAGGTCTGATCTCCATCTTCATGATTATTGGGGGGAAATTAAAATATCTGGCTTTCGTTTTCACTCCCTCCTCCTTTTCAGGGCTTCTCAAGGGCTTTTAAAGAGAATAGATTGTCCAGGCATAGCAGTACACACCTCCCAGGACAAGGAAGGCAGAGTCAGGCAGGTCTCTATAAACTCAAAATCTTGGTTCACAAATTGAGTTTCAGATCAGTCAAAGCTACACGGTGAGACCCTGTCTTTAAAAAAAGAAAAGAGCCGGGCATGGTGAGTCTTTAATCCCAGCACTCAGGAGGCAGAGTCAGGCAGATCTCTGTGAGTTCAAGGTCAGCCAGGTCTACAGAGCGAGTTCCAGGACAGGCAGGGCTACACAGAGAAACTCTATCTTGAAAAACCAAAAAATAAAAGAAAACTAGAGTCCATCTTTGTTGAGCACTTCCCACACACTCCGCTGTCTGCGTCAGCTGTTAAAACGTGGAGGCTCCCTCTCTGCACCAGGTGAGCTTCAGACCCAGGGAGAGGACGACAGGGCTGGACTTGTGGAAAGTGACTAGAAGGGCTCCTGATGCCAGCCCCTGAGCTCCATCCATGCACACACGTCACTCATGTAACGCCCACCCACAGGATATGATTAGATTAGAATCTGTGGCCTTTTGCGGACAGCGGGGAGTTAGTCCCTAACCAGGGCCAGGTTGTCCAGCCTTTCCTTAACACCGTGTTTCTTCCCTGTGAACGAGCAGGACTGAATCCGGACTCTGGGTGCCTGTCCTCCTCTGCTTTCTGTGGCTGTGATAAACACCACAGTCAAAAGAAGCAACATGGGCAGGAGAGAGTTCATTTCACCTTACAGCTTAACAGCCCATGGTGGGGAGAACCATGCAGGAACTCGAGGCAGGAGCAGGCACTGAAACAGACCCCATTCAGAGACCTTTCTAATAACCCGGGGAATGCCTGCTGGGGTAGCATTGCCCACAGCGAGCTAGGCCTCCTCCAGCCATTAGCAATCAAGAAGATGCCCCCACAGACCTGCCCACTGGCCAATCTGATCTAGCAAGTCCTCAGATAAGGGCCTCTCTTCCCAGAGGTTTCTAATTTGTGTTAAGTTGACAAAAACTGACCACCAGAGCCTGCAATCTCTCGGACAATCTCCCGGATCTGCCTTCTTTCCATGGGAACTTTTTTCCCCTGCTTGAGCTCTGGCCCTGCCGTCAGATCTGATTTCGTTTTCTCTTTTAATTTCGGGATGTAATGAGTACGTTAGAGCATGGAATACAACAGATGAGTCACATCTTATGTAGGCAGATGAGTGTTTCGATGAGCTCCTACATTTTCAAAAGCAAATGTTAAATGGTTAATGGGAAGGGGTGGGACAGAAGGTCAAGGGTACCAGAAAGCCACAATTACAGTTAATAAGTCTTGCCCTGTGTTTTCAAGGGAGCGCTTCAACATAAGCTAGGTCAATTACCATTTTAGTTGTTTAGAGGCGGGCGAGGTTGCCAGTGGCATCCAGTTGCTCTTGTTCCTAGACTGAGCAGTAAGAAGATGTGGATAATGTGTGTTCACGCACCGAGTCATGTGTGCAGAATACTGTATAAAAAGGGCAAACGCTGGCCCTTATGGTCTCAAACTAACAAATCTATGGTCTGACGAAGACAACCAAGAGCTCCAGTGCAGTGGCTAGTGAAGTCTCCATTTATTCTGTCAGCTGTTACAACCAGACCCTCCCTTGGGGGTGGGGGTGGGGTACTCACGTTTAGGTGATGATCAGTACAGGTGGTACCCTGGCTAGCCCTGCTCCTCTTCAAGGGACTTGTTGCCGTAATTTTAGACACTGTCTTGTCTCCTGAGAGAGCGTGTGGTCTTGCTCTGTGTGAGACATGTAAGGCGCACTGTCGTTCTGTGAGGTTCTTGTTCCAGGAGTCTCTAGCTGCCCTGCTTTCCCCCAGATGCTCAGCGAGTTGTGTATGAATAGCCCTTCTGTCCCTGGGTGGCTTCTAGCTCGGCCTGAGCACTCGAGAGTTAACCAGCGTTTACTGAGCAAGCCCTGTGCACAGCGCGAGTACTATTTATGGAGCGTGTTCAGCAGGGTCTTTTGACCTCAAAGGCACTTTGCATCCAGAGGGGAAATGGCACAGACGGACTTAGAGCCCAGTCAGGCCCACAGAGAAAATTAGGAGATAAGCGAAGCAGTTTGTGTTCAGGGTTCTTCCTCTCCCTCTTCCTCTGTTGGGATTGGTGTCTTGAATGACCGAGGAGCTGGCATCAGACCGTTTATAGGCATGCTCTATTTTGAGATGGAGGTTGTGGTTTGGGAAGGATATGTTATAATCATTTTCAACAAATGCTTATTGAGTGTGCACAGAGAACACCAAGAAATAGAAAGGTCCCCCTCTGCTGGAAACTGGGCTCACATCTGGGAACACTGGACACATTGAGGGTGCATAGGTGGAATTGGATATGTCTTCCTAAGGAAAAGGCACAGTCATCAACCTTTGCAGAAGTAGGTGCTGAGCTACCACAGAGTGGGTTTAGGGCAGTGGCATATGTCAGGAAGAGGAAGGACCTTGATTTTCATTTTGATATATA